GTAGGAATGTAAATTGGTATAGCCACTTTGAAAACCTTACGGCATTATCTTATAAATTTAAATATACATATACCATTCAATCAATCCTTAATTTCACCTCTTAGTGAAATTGTTCTAGAAAACTTCTTGTGTATGTATATCAGGAAACATATGTAAGAGCATTTGTTTTTTGGGTTTTTTTTTTTACCCTTTCCTTTTTTTTTTTTTTAATTTATTTTTTTAATTTGCATCCAAGTGAGTTAACATATAGTGCAACAGTGATTTCAGGAGTAGATTCCTTAATGCCTCTTACCCATTTAGCCCATCTTCCCTCCCATAACCCCTCCAGTAACCCTCAGTTTGTTCTCCATATTTAAGAGTCTCTTATGTTTTTGTCCCCCTCCATGTTTTTATATTATTTTTGCTTTCCTTCTCTTATGTTCATCTGCTTTGTATCTTAAAGCCCTCATATGAATGAAGTCATATGATACTTGTCTTTCTCTGACTAATTTCACTTAGCATAATACCCTCTAGTTCCATCCTCGTAGTTGCGAATATGTAAGAGCATTTGTAATAACATTGTTTGAAATGGCAAAAAACTTGAAATAAGACAAGTGTCCATTGAGTGGGGAAATGGATAAATCTATTGTGGTATAATCCCACAACAGATTACTATATAGCAGTGAAAAAGAATAATGTACAATGACATATATCCAATGTGAGTGAATCTTAGAAACATAATAGTGAGTGAAAAAGGCACATTGCAGAGTATATATATAAAGTTCAAAACCAAGCAAACAGCATATTGTTTAGAGTACATACATATATGATTAAATATACAGAAAGTAAAGGGAATGATAAAAAAAAAAAAAACCTCAGTTAAGTGGAATAGGATTAGGAAAGAATATTCACAGTTTTAGTGGTATTGTTGTATGTTTATTTAAGTTGAGTGGAAGATTTACAGGAATTAATTTTTATGCTTTAAAAATTTTTTAATGTTTTTGTTGAAGTATTATTAGCATACAAAAAAAATCTATGCACATTTAATGTGTACATCTTGGAATCTAAAAAATAAAACAAATGAAGAAGTAAAAAAAAAACAATTTCTTTTTTTTTTT